CTCAAGGGAGTCTTCTTCAAACAGATGCTAGAAAAGACAGGACACTGTGTGGAGACACCACCGACATAATTTACAATGACTTTATAGCCCAAGCCTGGCTCTTTGGTAGGCACTCATTATTAAAAGTGAACACTATTTCTTACAGTAAAATGTTTATTTGTTCATACTTTATACTACTCTGTACATATTAGTGTTTGGTTTTGGTTGTGCTTTTCTCTATAACTCTCATGAGCTCACAAATCATGTTATTCTAATGAGGGATACCTATGCAAGTTTTCTGAAATAAAAATCTTCCCTATTTATCTCAAACAAGGCCAAATATTCACTTTATATTAGTCAACCAACTGCACTATGATTCCCCTGAGCTGCATGGAATGGAAAGACATTTCTCTAAAGCACACAGGAGACAGCTAACTCTCTCTTTGTTTCCTGTGCCCTAATTATTCCATTATATTTTGACGTCCTTTCTCCTGAAATGACACTGACTTAAAAACCCCACATATTTCATGCATGCTTTGATGAGAGTACTAAGAATATTAAATATTTAACCTTTCTTTCATTATGGGTCAGGTTTTGAATTTACTTTTGGGGCAGTTTTGAGTCAAGAGACTATATTGTTAAGATACAACAGTGTATAGAAGTTACATCTTGCAACAAGAAAACATTGGCTTTTAAAAATTTTTGTAAGCACAGATGACTGTAAATGACCATTTTGTTCTTTACTTTTTATATTTTTTACAGCTACCTCGTGTTTATTTTAAAATACTCAAAATACTGTCAGGCAATATGACTTCAGAAAAGTCTAGACATTACATAAAAAAGGATGTCTATGATTTCTGAAGTTTAATTACATTTCCTTCTTCGGAAAATAAACAAAATCTTGGTAAAACTATATTATGCTAAAAGAAGAAATAAATTAAGAAGATTCAACAACACCTTACAGATATATTAGGCAAGCTCATTGATGAAAATGTTACAGACTGACAACTGCCCAGGGATCCAGCCAAAAGAACTGGAAAAGTAAACAGTGCTAAGGATTGAAAAGATAAGAGATTCAATTTGGTTTGAAACTGCACAACAGTACCTCCAAAAAAGGAATGCTGTTGAATAGTGATATCAAGTACAGTGTCTTGACCTCAGTTATGCAGAGAAATGGCTAAATACACTTTTACCCAGAAAAAAAACCAAACCAAAACAAATGAAATACAACAACCCTGGACATCAGTATTACCAAAATTGTCAATAGGGGGAAGAAATCAGTGACTGAGTCTTGCAAAAGGAAAGACTAATGTAACACAAATAAACCAATTCAAAGTTTTCCAAAAGAAAACTCTTCAATTTGTTCTACCAACTGGGCATTTGGACAAAATCCTCACAAATGGTATATCTTGAGGTCCCTTAAAACAATACACATAACTGGATATACGACTAGAGTCAGTCATGTTTCTGCAGTAAGCTGATGAATATATTTACATTTTTCCTTTGCATCAACAGAAAATTTTAATTGAAAATGTCATACATTTATTCATACAATATTCCAAACATCAGCCTTCTGCTGCTGTTTCTTAGAGCTGGTGCCTGAAGAGCTGCACAATTGGGTCAGAACATCATCAAATCCACATGTCCTTCCTCTGCAAAACCATCACAGAACAGGCAGGAAGCCTGGCCTGCTCTTTTCATTGGTATTGTCCCACTTCCACAGCAGCAACACAGTGGTTACCCACAAGAAAGTAATTTTCAGCTCCTGCCTTGAAGTGACAGAAATCAGCACAGGGTCTGACTGGAGCCAGAGCCATCCTCATCCTCCCAGTGATGAGCAGAGAGGCAAAACAGCACAGTTACAGAATTAGTGCAGTCTGTCTCACACCCTCTCCTGTTGCCTCACTGAACCATTTTTTCATCTTCCTTTTCACCCCTCTCCCATGCCCCCAGCTTCTCCCCCTTAGCCCACTCTCAGCATCCCTGTTCCAACACTGGGATCTCTGTTCCAAAATCACTAATGTGGGGTGAGATGGACCCATCCACAGCAACTGGAAACCTCAAAGCCTGGGATAATCCCAGCCCATCTCACACGCTGTGACAGCTGATGCTGCTCACATCCAAGAGTCTGAGCACATTTTTTCTCTCTGTCCAAAGTCATGGCTAATGACTGGCCAACAGAATTCTTTTACCCTAAATTATTACCCTAAATGAACCCTCAGCAGGGCCCTAGATGTAACCCCTAGTACAGCTGTTTGTAGCTGTTCTTTGTCCCTCTGCTGTATCTCTGGAGGATGCTGTTTCAGCAGGAGATGCAGAGTGCAGCTGATTTCCCAGAGGTGTTGGTTTCAGCAAGCCTTCCCTCCCATTTCCTGCTACAGGACTGCAAGGCTTTTCCACAGGACTGTAAGCACAGAATCAGGGAAACGATGATGCACATGGTTTGAGGGACAGAATCCCTTCCAGGAAGGGCTTGGTGATGAGCTGTAAGGTGGTGTAAGCACATTCTAGTCTCATCCTGCTTTTTCCATTTTGGGAAAGAATTACTCAGCAGCAGCTATCAGTATTGTTGATGTCACCACAGCCACCACCTAGCTTCACCCTTTCTCAGTTTTCATCTCAAATGTCATTTTGAAGCTTGTGAAAACGGCTCTGGGATGCAAGAGAAATGCACCTCCAAGTAAGTGCTCACTTATTGCTGCCTGCAGGAAACAGGAGAGACTGTTGTATCCATGACATAAAGCGTACAGAAATTAACCCATAGCGTGGAAACGGCTGTGACGGACCGCGGCTGGCCCTGAGCTCTCCGTGAAGCCCACGGCTCATCACTCACCTTGTGACACTGACACATCTGGGCTCTGTGGAGCTCTCCAGTTCCTCTCTCTCCCCCCCAGCCAGAGTACTCACAGTGCAGGCTGGGAGCATGACATTCCTGCTCCTCACACTAGGCCACTGCAAACTGCTCCCAGGAGGATGCCTATTTATTACTATTTATTGCTATTTATTACTATATATTACTATTTATTACTGGCCCTGTGCCATCAAAGACTGACCTAATGAAGCAATACAGAGCAGCTGATGTTGGCAGTGCCTGTGGCCTGGACAATTAGAGGTGCATTTATTCATTTATTGGCAAATATATTTATGGGAAAATTCTTGTGCCCCAAAGGCTACCACATCCAGGTCCCTTCTTGATAATTCTGTAATGTGAAGACTGTTGTTTTGGTTTTTGTTTTTTCCTTTCAAAACCACATGTAAGTTTTGCATTTGAATCTTTTAAGGATAGAACACAGCTTTAAATAAATAAACAAATCAGTGCACACCTTAACTGAAGCTCTCTTTTAATTACTAAGCTTTAACCAGTGTCTCCTAATGGTATAAAGTATGTCCATAATATAATGAGTACCAAATAGAAAATATTGTGTATGTCAAGGTATCTCACTTTTACTCCTCTGATTCTTTCCCTGATCCTGCTGTTGAGTGAGGAGCTGTGTGGGGCTAGAATGCCTCGAGCGTATTAGCCAAAGAGAGCACTTCACATGTAGCTGTCACCTGTTAAGTCCTGAGGAAAATACTGGGATAAGGAATATGCTAAATATTACCCAGACAATGGTGAACTCAGGGCAATCAGTGCTGACCTCTTTCCTAAAATTAAGCATTTGCACATCTTCAGCAGATTTTGAAAATAAGGGGGAAATAGACTCTACCTCTTCATACACAGGGGAATGCTCAGGGGTTATCAGATAAAAGGATAATTCCTTCTCCTTCAGGTACGTTATAAAAGCAAGAGATGGCTCACAATGGATTTTCATGTTGTAAAAAGTATTTTTCTCAGAAACAAACACATCAGAAGTACACAGGTACACAGAAGACCAATTCAATTGACCATCAGGTCAGACTAATTAGATGGACTTCCAGCGTTTTGGTCTCAAGCAAGGAAGAATCATGATCGAGGTGCTGACCCAGCCAAGATCTGGATGGAGGAGTTGCTTTAAAATGATGCAGGCACATAACATAAAAAAGGAAAGTACCTATGGAGTTTAAATTATGCTAGGAACAACTCAAAAGAGCTTTTCAAAATAGAAATTTTGGACTTAAATGCCTCACCTGACCTAAATGTGACTTCAGGCTCCTACATAAAGCAATTCCATGAAGTCACTAAAGTTACACCAGGGAGAAATTCAACCATAAGTGACATGATTTTTGTCATGCAATTTGCACCTTTTCTAGATACTAGATTCAAAATATTATTCCATTACCATTTTCAAGACCATCCAAAATCTGTGTATCATCACTACACTATATATTGATCTTCTGAGCAGGTCAATATTTAAGAAACTTGATTCATAATAACTTAATATTAAGTAGCTGGATTATTTATATATCTATATTTATGAATAAATATATAACAGCTCTTCTGAGCAGTTACTGTTTTCAAAAGTCAAGTCTATTTAAGTAGCAGATTCTGTGCAAGGGTGGTTACCCTCTGCAGATTTGTCTTTAAAGACATTTATTTATAGAAAAGAAGTTAATTCACAAGGAAAACAATTTACAATCTTAAAGCAGGCAACACCTTTCCAAATCTTGGTAGAAACAGGCAGCCAACTTGCACACATAATTAAACTTCAAATTCCCCTGTAAATGGCAGCCAAAGTTCAATACAATTTTTCTGAGGCTGGCTGATGTAGGAAGAATTTCATGAGATGTTTTCTCCTCTATCAATCCAACGATGTACACAGAGATAGATTAAACTTGCACACCTTTCAGGCTGATATACCTGACTGTAAAAAAAAAAAAAATCTCACAGCTGGAATTCTTCCTGAAAACTAAAATAGATGACAAAGTAAAAGACCAATCTTCTATAGACACTTAATGAAGACAGGCTTCAAGGGGTTTTCTATAGCAGAGAGTACTTTACACCCCAGGAGGAGACAAAGCCAGCAGATTTCTGCAGCTGAGGATTGCAGTCACAGCAGAATAAGTAAAATAACAAAAAACATATTACTTGTTAAATCACTTACACTGGTTTTCCTTTGGATTCACAAGTCAAAATTATAGATTGTCCTTCTTCAGGCCATGAATTGGAAGAAATGATTTTAACTAAAGGTGTATCTAGGAAGAAAAAAATAGACAACTTGTTGATATACACAAAAAAGATTTATTATCTAAGAGTACATTCTTCTCTATTTACAACAGACTAAAGCACAGATTTAATTTACACTTGGAGACAGTTTCATATGGAGCCTTGTGCAATTTCCATTGTCTTCAGGAAGGCAATAAAAATGACCAATGTAACTAAAACAGTAACTTTTTATATCCCCAGGAGACACAGATAGAAAGCATGTGTATACTAAGAGAAAACAATTTTTTTATTTCTGTATTTGATGCAAATACTCCATATGACTATCCAAAAGTCTGATATCAAACAAAAAAAATAAGAAAAAAAAATTGAGAATGAATAACAAGTACTCCATGCAATTGTTTGCCTATTTTTAGGCTGATATGATGGAATGCTGCTATTAGAGGAATGAATGCAATAGTGTACATTTGAATAAGAACCCTTTTGTTGTTGCAGAAGCTTGAAACTCATAATAAGAAAGCTACAACGAGCTTTCAGATAAAATACCTTGTTACAGACATTTTATAGGATATTATTTCTGAAATGCAATAAAGTTGCCCCTAAACCATAACAATCTTAAACAGAATTTGCAAAGAGAATGTTTCAAATATCTGCAAAAAGCACTACAGAAGAATCTGCAATCTATCCAATGTGATTGGATTAGTTTTATAGTTTTAAAAGCAAAAAGATACACAACGCAGCTACTGTGAATTCGTGCTGAATAGAGCATTTGAAGTAGATCTTTAACTTTTAAAAAATTTTGCCACCTGGCTTGCAAGAATATATTTACACAGTCAACATATGACTTAGGACCTTTATGAGGAACAAAAAAAGATGATAAACAAAGGAATGTAACACATTTTTTCCTTAGGAAGAGGGGAAAAAAAAAGTTCATTGTCACACTGAAAAAAAAAAAATTTCAGATTGAGTAGATACATTGTTACTTTTCCTCACGGTTTCATTCTCTCTAGTTTCCTAATACAAACCACTTTATCCTGCAAATCTAGGGTACCTAAGTCTTGTCTCATTCAATTTGCAGTTGCTGTCTTCCTTAGCAGTGACATCAAAGATGTCCTGTTATCAAACAAATGTGATAGAGCATGGCAATATGACCCCACAAAATAATAACAATAATTTAAAAAAAATACACTCCACAATATAGTTTCTTATTGAAATTCCAATAGCCCTGTTGAACCCTAAATAGCACCAGAACAATTAAAATTGTGGAAATATTTTTCTAACTTTTGATTTTCTCTCTTTACACACCGCAGAGTAACAACATAGCACAAGATGAGAAGATGGAAAGGCTTAGTGCACTCTCTGTAATTCCACTGGAAGTATTTTCAGCATCATTCAGCTTTCCAGAACAGCTGCACTAACCTTACACCAGCAGCAAATCTGTTCCACAAGTTCATATGTTTAAGGACCCTGCAAACCATTATGCAGGTGACTAATCCTTCGGAGGCCAGGCTGGCATTTGCTTCATTTTTAGCACATGCTTAAGGCACTGACCTCAAGTGCTTTAATAAATCAGGGCATCAAGTACTTCTGTGATTTCAGTGGTGCTGTTGAAGATGAATAAATTACTCTCTTGACTATACATTGAACCAGAGGAGCAAATTAGTATCAGACAGGAATACATGAAGAATTTAACTGAGGGAGGGAGACAACTAATGCAATGAGATCAAGAGGTTTCCAGAGAAATATGAAAAAGAGCAAAACTTTGATGGAAGTAATCCTGACAGCCACAGGTGAAGGAAGAAATTAAAGGCCCATCTAGCTATTATTTCTGGCTTAAATACTTTAAAAATTGATCACCATTTCATGCAATACTGTAAATGACCCAAATAAAATTGAAGGGAGGATTCCAGACAATTAAGCTTTAATTTGCATGGATCAATGCAGTGCTGTTTCCCCCAACTTGAAGTTCCCATTCCTACTTTAATACACCAGGCATCTCTCTGTTCTTCATGCACTTCCAAACAGAAATTACTAACACAGAATAAGAAAGGTCTTACATTTATGTTTCACTGTCTAAGGCATAACAAAGTGGTATAGGAAATATATTCCCTATTGGTTTTCCCTGCTAATTGACTTAAACAGTAACTACTGGCTTCTCTAAAGCAGGAAACACAGGGTTTAATTCAATATATAATTTTTAGGGAAGCTAACAATGGAAAACGTTTGCATTTTATTAATGATTCTTTTTCAAAAACTAGATATTCTATTTTGAGTGCTTTATTCTCAGCATTACTCTTTCCGTTTTTTATTTTTAGGCCACGCTTTATTTCTCTCCAGAACTAAAATGCACACTTAAAAAGGGAAAACTTTTAAGATAAACCTGACCTCTATCTTCACATTCACATCAATACTTTAAGTGTGAAGCAATCTTCAGAATAATTGAATTGAATCAAAACTAACCTAAACATCTTATTTTAACAAAGATGATAGAACCCTGATGATTGGTACCTTCCCAGAACACAAAATGCTATTACAAAATACTAGCTCCTGCTCATTTTAGAAGAATTTGAAAAGTATAAATGTAGTCTATCAATACTTTGAGTTTTGAGCTGTCACAATTAAAGGCATAAATCATAACAACTGGAGCATCACGTGATCTCCAGCAAACACCAACATAAGGAAACAGCCTAAAGAAAGAAAATCAAGAACTGTGATACAGTAAGAGGCTGATTTGTTTTCACATATGTTCATCACTTTGCTATAAGTAATGTAGATATGTAAAAAAACATCTCCTTCCACAGCCTAAATAAACAGAAGGAGTACAGTCAAGGGTTTTATTGCAGGTCAGATATTTTCCTCCTTCTCTCAAGCCAGTAAAAATATACCAATGTGTACCAGTTGAGCTTAACAGAACTTTAATAATTCACATATTTTTTAGTGTTTATCCCAGCAATTTCATTACAATAAAATATAATGAATCAATATTCAAAGCAGAATTCTTCTGAATAATGGAGTGATGGCTACAGTTTCTTTACAATATCTACAAATACGTCCTAATCCTGAGTTCTAGGGGTATTGTGGAGGAGATGAGTGTTCCAAAAAGAATAAGCTTTGGGAAAGTCCAATTCTATTAAAAAAACACTGGTTTATATGGGTATAAGCACCACAGCAAGTTCTCTCAGTAAAACACACTGCTTTCAGTACCCAGTGACTTTTTTAGTTACATCCATCTCCAGCAGCAAGAGCTTCTCTGGCCCTTTAGACTCTTTAGTTTGAGTAATGAGGTACTTATGAGCTGCAATTGATTGCTAGCACCAATCTGAAGTGAGGTTCAAACATGTTTTTATACATCTTTTACCCTCTATGAGCATAGAATCTGCTTGTTTGTTTCTGGGCATACCAGCCACAGGTAAGAATTATGGCATGGGGTTATTTTATGTATAACCTTTCATGATTCAGCAGACCAAAGGCAAAAGTTCCACTGAGTGATTCTGCTTCATCCATCTTTCTAGGATTTGGGTTCATCTCATCTCACAAGCCCAGGAAACACATTCCAAGGCCTTGGGAATATTTATCTATTTTTGATCAGGCCATGTCATCTTCAGCAACACAAAAAATCTGTAAACGTATGTGGAAAACTGATACCAGCTTACACCAGTAAAAAAAAAATCTAACCTGATACATGAAGAAATTAAACACTTCAACACTTGATTTTGTTGTACTTTAAGCAGCAAGTAATGGCAACATTCACACCTTGTGGAGCATTATTGATTGATTTAATCTCTTTGAAGCTATTTTCAAAATAAAGGTGGTTCTTGTCAGTCACTAGACCTTTGCTCTTAATCAAATCTCCTATGCTTAAAAGTGTGTGTGTGTGTTTGCTTTCAGAATGCACTTGATGTCTTTACATGGCTTGAAATAAAATAGACTTCAGTATATATTTATATTATTTTATCACCAAGCCTTTATAAGGTTACATGCAGGATTAAATTCCTACACATAAATTTACTCACGTAAAGTAATCACATGAAAGCTGCTGGAAAAATCTCTCATGATAAGTTATGTTATACTTCATGTGCAAACCCTCGACAAACACAGTGTAAAAATGGAAAACTGAATTCATAAAAATAAACAAACTTGCTAAGATTGTCAAACAGGCCAACAACAGAATCAGACAATTAATCTCCACTAGTTTCTTAGTGCCAAGATATTAAAAGTGTAATTTGGCCTATTTTTCACATGTATCTTCAGAAGTCCTTGGTCCCATCAGCAAAACCTTTCATGGAACTCACAGCTCTGGCTGAGTCACTAAATGAAAGGAGAACCCTTTGCATCCTAGGCCATTAATCAGCAACAGGTGTGTAGGAATAATAAGCACATGAAAAATCATTTTGTGAGACAGAGGGGTAGCGTTATCATGAGGTTACGATAGGAACGCACTATTTTATCAAATATTCCCTCTCTAATGTAATCATCTTCTGTGAATGTAATTACAATCCCAGAAACAGAAAATAAGACCTTTCTTCTTGGGCAGATGTTAGGGGGGGTGGAGCACATTTATTTCATTGACATTTTCAAGAAAGAATGATTGGAAGCAGTAGACTTTTCAGGAATAGGAGTATTCATGATCTCATAGTCATTAGAATTCCAAATGCTGAAAATGCATCTATGCAAAGAAACATGCAGCAGTCTTTCCTCCAGGTAATTTTTATATATGTTTTACTTTACCTGTAATATAAACTTCTTGCCACTAGATATTGTCACTAGACAATGAATACCTTCATTGGCATTCCAGTGAAAGGGGGATTAACAGAAAAAAATCTTAGTGGTTCTCCTCTGCAGAAATTTAACAATATTGCATCAGATGTAGAGATCCAAGTCAGGGCTCCTAATCTGCAAATTTTCTGCTGAATTATAGATTTTTTAAAAAATAAATAAATGCAATAACGTACTATGAAGTTTAAACTTAGTACCCTGAATATCTTTCAGTGTGGCTGAATCTTCAGACAGCAGAACAGAACAAGGAAACCTC